ATACTATTTTTTTCCTTGAGGGGTTAATTTTTGGTTATTATTTTTCAACTCTCTGTAACTCAATGGAAATTACATTGGCAAAATATAAATTATTTGATAGAAAATGTTAGTGGCCGAATGATTCGAATGTGTCAAAATGACGTCATTTTAAGACATTCGAGCTAAGAAAATTCGGGCCACCTAGTATTATTGTATTTGATATTTGCTCAAAAAAATGATACCAACATCATTTTTTTTAAGATAAATTACAAATATATCCTCTAAGATTTGCTTAAAATACGAATTGACCCCTGTGATTTGGAAAATTATAAATACTTCACTGTCGGGATTTTTTATTTAATAGAATTAATTGAAAAAGTGAAATTTTTAACTGTTTACATATACAATAATAAAATTATTTGAATTATTAATTGAAATAAAATTTTAACATTATTAAAAACTATTAATTAACTTGATGATTTATTAATAAAAGAATCTATTTGTGATGAAATTAGCAACCTTAGGGGCTTAATATAATTTTAGAACCACAGGGAATAATTTATAATTTAAGTAAACCTCAGAGAGTGTGTTTATAATTTGTCCTTTTTTTATGGGTCCAAGTTGTATTTTTTTTCCTAAATATAAGAAGAAATAAGTGTAATTTATCTTACACTTTCTATTTTTTATTTTTTTTGTACCCTTGAAGTTTGAAGTTTTAATTTTTAATTTTTTTTAAAAAATTGGTCTTTTGAGCTTTTATTGGGTAAATTCCACTTTACTAACTATTTTTTCATTTTGACCATCAAAATTTATTTTTTTCTATTCTAAACCTTCATATTTTAAAATTTTCTCAATTTATTCTAAAAATTAATTTATATTTAAAATTAAGCAGAAAATGATATATTGACAATCACGTAGTATAAAAATATTTTATTACATATATAACTTATACATCTTATATAAATTTAAATCTCAATATAATAATATACTATTTTTTATATTATGTGATAGTTAATATGATATTTTTCTGTTTAATTTTAAATAAAAATTAACTTTATGAGTAAGCTATTAAAAACTTAAAATATAAATAGTCAAAAAAAAAATTTAAGACTAAAATAAAAAAAAATTAATCAAATATAACAAGATAAAGTGTAATTTACCGTTATCAGCGAGACTTTTTTGTAATAAAAGCCAAGAAATCAATTTGCTTTGGCCCTGTTGGCGAATTTTTACGGCGACAATGCTACGTAGCTCAAATTTTATGGCTCAAAAGTGGCTCAAATAGTCAAAACGACGTCGTTTTGAGTACAGAACAACATAAAAATGGCCAAAACGACGTCGTTTTGGCCATTTGAGCCACTTTTGAGCCACAAAATTTGAGTTACGAAACATTTTCCTTTTTACGGTTGAAAGAAAACCAACAAAACACTAAAAAAATACCCATCTCTCTCTCCTGCCGGCAAAATCCTATCAACTCACAAATAATACGAATATGCATACCTATATTATAATGGGATGAGAATCTTTCATGTTGAGGAGAGAATTTAAAAGATTTAGGTGTTTTGAATCGTTTATGTTTTAAAAATTGTTGGATAAAATATTTATATAAAAAATTAAGATAATTAAATATTAATAATTATATTTTTAAATTAAATTTATATTATAAAAAATAAATAATTATTTTTAAAATTATATTTATCGTATATTTTTTAAAAATAAATATGATTCAAATGTTACTGATATATAATTAATTTAATTGTTTACATAAATATTTTAATTATTAAATTTAAAAAAAATAAACAATTCGAATCATTAAATTAATTCCAAAATAAACCTATTCACCATGTTGTTTCTAGTTTTTTGAAAACACTTTTCTGAAATTTTTAATTTCTTATTTTCCGTATTTGTTTGTTTTTACTGAATTTTTTTAATAGTTTAAGCAAATTTTTTAATTGTTAGACACACCTAACATAAATACATTTATAAGGTATAATTTTCGTGAAAGAAATCTTTAAAAAATTCACTAAACACCAAAAAATAACAAAAAAATACAAAAATTCAGTATATTTTTCATATTTTTGTATATTTATTAATTTTTAAAAATATTTTTTAACAAATATAATTTACTTTTTAGATATATCTAAATAAGGTGCATCTAAAAAAGTAAAAAAAAAATGCTTAAAATTTTAAATGTAACGCCCTCAAAATAATATAATAAATCCAACTCATTAGTAGAAATAATAGAAATATAATATTTTTAATCATCAGAGTTCGTTTACAAAAGTTAACATATGCGATATACATTCACAAATATTCATTCTGAATCTACAGCATATGTTACATTGTAAAGAGAATTAAACTAAACATTTAGTCATATGCTCTATAGGCTTACAATTTTCCAAGTAATTACTTGGTTACATAAAGGTGAGCCTAGCTTAGTACAATTTCAGCCATTGGTTATACAAAAGAATATAACAAAATAAAGAAACTCTTACTCCCAAAAGTCCCTCCAAGCTGTTGCCTTGGCGGATGCATGTCACCAACACCTGAAAATAGTTTTTCCCAAATAGGTTGAGCCAAAACCCAGTAGAAATAATCTAACACGGTATATGAGATTTAACAAAGATATAAGTACAATGTACACATACAAATATCGGTGATAAAATCTCCACATTTTATATAACCATAAGACACTAAGGTTCATATTTCAATTCATTTTCCCTCAATTCATTTCTAGTACGTTCAATATTCTAAATTCATGAATCAATTTCATTATTTTTCGATAACCCAACTGAGACTACAACTCATTGGTTCTCAAATCAACACAATTACCATACAAACACTTCAATCTGCCATTTTACGAAAATTTCGTCTGCGGGATCGATACCCATGTATACACAAGATTTCAGAACTTTTACCCTAGACACTTCGGCTAATTTAATTTTCAATGGAGTCCATCCCCTATCTCCTCCCAAACAATGGAATGCATCCCATTTTTTTCTTCCAAACATCATATATAGGTGTCGGATAATGTTGATGTACATGCGAGAAAGCCAAATAACAGGTCTCAGGATAATCAAGATAAATATTGTATTCGGCTCCGTCCTGAACGATCCCAAAGCCAAATAAACTAATCGACCGTAGAATTAGTTGAACAAAAGCCGAATAAATAAACGTACAATAGATTAAGAGTGGGCCCGATCTTGGGACCCAAAAGAAGATATAAATAGAGGAATATCAGCCAGAGAAAGGTATGTGAGAAAAGAACCTAGGAAACTTAAGACATAAGTAAACGAGAGACATATACTAACTTGTCCGTCGGAGTGCTAATTCCGACACCCCTGACCGGAGTGTTAATTCCTTTTTCAGGTGACATTCAGAGGATCAAGAGCGTCCTTCGGGATCCAAGAGTATTTTCGGATCACATCTCCACAATTGGCACCGTCTGTGGGAATACTCAAGTACATCCATGGCGAGCATAACGGAAGATCCTCTAATAGTTGTTGACGAAACTACACCAAGAAATGACCTCACTCCAAGAAACATGCTGGGACCGGAGAATATCGCCGCACGACGTGCCTTGAACTTTGACTCAGTAGCTCAGACCTCACCCTCAACTTTAATGCATGAGACAATGCAAACGATTATGGATCAGGCAAAGCAAAATGAACAGCGGCTGTAGAACATGATGGCTGAGAATGAGCACCTGACAAGCCGCATGCCAAGACCGGGTTCAACCTCCGGGAAAAAAGGATGTACGTCGATGTCAACTTCGACTTCAAAAATGCAATAATGATAGTGATTCAAATTCACCATCTCCGGAGCCCAGAAAGAAAGGGCGTGTTGATATATCCAACTCGTCTGGAGGAAGTCCATATGTGCGGCATAGACGAAAAAGAAGCAATGATTCGGATGAGGAAGATAAACATGACCCATTCGTGCGACGAATTGCCAGGGTTGTGCTACCCAAAAAGTTCAAGGCACCGTTATTCACCCTCTACGACAGAAAATCAGACCCCATTGATCACATTCGTTATTACAAGCAAGCGATGATGCTCCATGCTGACGACGAAGCCCTCATGTGTCGGATATTTCCAAGCAGTCTGGGACCACTGGTCGTGAGGTGGTACTATAAACTGGAGCCGGCGTCAATTAAGAGCTTCCACCGACTCCAAAAGTCATTCAGGGCGAGATTCATCACTAATGAGGTCCAGCCGAAGCAAGCCGATTCTCTCTGGGCTATGCAAATTAAATCGGAAGAAACTCTTCATGAATATTCGGTCCGCTATTGGGAGTGCTTTAATTTGGTAGATGATGCTTGCAATGATTCCATGGCCATCACCGCCTTTAAGATGGGATTGCATCTTGATAGCCCTCTTCGCAGTTCATTAACCAGGCGTCCCCACAAAACTGTATGGGCATTAATGAAGAAGGTCGAAGAGTATTGCAAAGTGGAAGACGATACCCTTCGAGTCAAAGGCAGACGTAAAGCCGTTGAGTCAGCCACGTCGGGAATTGTTCAGCCGATTAGTGTCGTGCCGTCAAGAAGCCCCGAGAAGCGGAATTGACCTAAATGAGACAAAAGGCATGATTCGCGTCGATCAAACAACCAATGTTCACATTAAGCTAATGAACAATATCAAGTGGATAGAAGACGGACAAGGCGTTCGGGCAAGAAATACACGGAGCTGACAGAGCCGATCAATAAGATTCTGTCGAAAATACAACACTTTCCGTTCTTCAAGTGGCCACGGGACCCCCGATGCAAGAAGACAAGACAAACGATGTGAGTATCATAAAGACCATGGTTATGACACCGATAGTTGTTTTTCTTTAAAAGATCACCTAGAAGAATTAGTGCAAGACGACCATCTTACGTAATACGTCCGAAAGAACAATTCAGTAAATACAGTAGCTCTACGGCGGAGTCACCCCCTCTTGGTGTAATTCATATGATATATAGCTTGTCGGCACCACCCGATGTGCACACAATCTAGTTGTCGTCTAGCACCCATAGCCCAATGACGCCAGGGAAACGGTCGCACGGCACTAGAAGGATTAGTTTCAATGACAGTGATTTAGTTGGAGTGACCTACCCCCATACTGATCCCCTCGTTATCGAGCTACGTGTAAATAGATTCACCATCAAGCGTGTTCTCATTGACCAGGGCAGCACTTCGGAGATAATGTATTACAAAACTTTTGTCAAACTTGGCTTTACCAATTCGGACCTGTCTCTGGCTGATTACCCGTTATTCGGCTTCAATGCTAACCTGGAGTACCCTTTGGGAAAGATCACACTACTTGTACGAGCCGGAACTAGATCAGTAGACGTAGAATTTCTGGTTGTTAAGCTCCCTTTGCCGTATAATCTTATCATAGGCAGAACTTGGTTACATACAATGCAAGTCGTGCCAAGCACCTACCACCAACTACTCCATTTTCTGACTGAATACGATATCGAACAAATTCGTGGCTCTCAGAAATCGGTGCAGGCATGCTATCTTCTAGCTGCAAAGAGACCGAGGGAACTGGAAGTGCATTCAATTGAGGTACCGGATATGGAGAGTCTCGAAGACATTGGGAGGATCCCAAGTGAAAAAGCAACCGAAGCCCTGCATCGGGTCGAAATTGATGGAAATCCTGACAAGTTCTTCATGATCGGTGCTTCCTTGGATAACGTCGAAAGATAGGAATTGGAAGCCTTCTTACTCGGCAATATTGATGTGTTTGCATGGTCTCCATATGAGATACCAGGAGTAGATCCATTAGTGGCCCAACACCGCTTGAACGTTGATCCGAAATGTAAGCTAATTGTTCAAAGAAGCCGACGGTCAGCCGTGGAGCATAGTTCGGCCGTCGTTGAAGAAGTAGACAGGTTACTTGACGCCGGGGCGGTTCGCGAAGTAACTTATCCTACATGGTTGTCCAATACTGTGGTCGTAAAAAAGAAGAATGGCTTTTGGCACTTCTGTGTGGATTTTACGAATTTGAACAATACTTGTCCCAAGGACTGTTTTCCCCTACCCAGAATAGACCAACTTGTAGATGGAATGGCACATCATCAATACATGAGCTTTTTAGATGCCTACAGAGGCTATCATCAAATTGCCATGCATCCGAAGGATCAAGAAAAAATCGCATTTCTCACCCTAAGAGGAGCCTATTGCTATAAGGTCATGCCTTTTGGGCTGAAGAATGTTGGGGCAACTTATCAAAGACTAATGACTTCCATGTTCAAGGAACAACTCGGCCGTACCATGGAAGTATACATCAATGATATGGTGGTCAAATCTAAGGAAAAACACTCTCATCTAGCCGATTTGTCAGAGGCATTCGACGTTCTTCAAAAGTACAAGATGAAATTGAACGATTCTAAGTGTGCATTCGGCATCGGCTTCGGAAAATTCCTTAGCTACATCGTTAACCACCGCGGAATCGAAGCCAATCCAAGGCAGAACACGGTAATTCTAGAGCTTGGATCCCCTCGGTCAGTCAAAGAGGTTCAGAAGCTAATGGGGATGGCCGCCGCACTCAACAGATTTATCAGTTGTTCCACAGATCGTTGTCGAAAATTCTTTTACATACTTCGGCAAGGTAGAGCATTTGATTGGACTCCCGAGTGCCAGGCCGCTTTGGACGGCCTGAAATCTTATCTCCAATCAGTACCACTCTTGGCAACACCTGCAGCCGGCGATCCACTCATTTTGTATCTAGCAGTATCCGACCAGGCGGTCAGCGTCGTATTGTTAAAGGAAGAACTAGGGGAGCAGCGACCAGTTTACTATGTGAGCAAAGCTATGGTCGACGCCGAGACACGTTAGCTTCCATTAGAAAAGCTTATCCTTGCTCTCGTCATGGCTACAAGAAAACTGATGCACTACTTTCAAGGGCATACCATTGGGGTACCAACAGAATATCTTGTCACGACCCAAACCCGCTCATATAGGTTTAGCGTAGTAACCAGCCAATAATCTTAGATTACCTTCGGCCTCAAAGACAAAATTTCAAAATATTCATAATCATATCGGGGCCTAAAGCAGAAGCAAAGCAAAATAAAAATGTCCATTGAGCTTATGCATACATGATGACTAAAATAATTAAAACATTTAAACAAGATAATAATTTATACACATATCTTATATATCTCACAAACATATACATTAAGACTCAGCAAAATACAAAACTCTGGCAAAGCTAAGGGACTGATTTTGATTTTTTTTTTTTTGGCTCTACTCGAGCCTAACTTGCTCCATTTCGGAAACTCTTCAAAAGGCTGACACGGGTAGACTCCGAGGCTTTCTCTATCCTTGTTGCTTAGTTTGCTCACCTACATATACATATAAATAGTAAGCTAAAGCCCAGCGAGTGATAACAGAATAAAGAGGTTAAATGAATGAAGTTCGAAAATAATACAAAAATCTATCTTACGGTTTCGAAACGAATCTTGAATCATTTTCAAAGTAAGGCATTTGCCATATTATATCAAACTTTATAACAAAACGTTTTACATATCAAATCATATATTTCAAGTTTTGAATCAATCCATTTCCAATAGGCGAAACAATTCGTTTAGCCATCAAATCAATCCTTTGCTACAATAAGAACCATTGTTCGATAGCATTTTTGATACAATTCTGATTTCAATTCAATTCTCAGCGATCCATGTTATCTTAATAGTTGTAACGCCCCGAAATAGTTCAACATAAACTACCCACATTAATGAACATTCACTAAACGATAACAAAAATCCTTCGATCTTCACATATTTAATAAATGAGTTTAATACAAAAGTTCCACATGCGATATACATTCAACGAAACAAAAGAACACCTGAATCTATAGCATGTGAAGCATCTAGTCTCAAAACAATAAAATGCCCTTAAGGGCTTACATTTTCCAAGGCAATAGCCCGGTTACACAAAATGGCCTCTCGGATCCATACACATTAGCCCTTGGCTTACAAAAAGAATTACAACAAAATAAAAGAGCTCTTTACTCTTCTCAAAAATATCCACACCCTCAGTTCGGCGGAATCACCACATCTTTACCTACACCAAAGTCCCATAGGGGTGAGCATAAATCCCAGCAGAGAATTCTCACAAAGTATATACAGTTATGCAATTCTCAGTGTAAATGCAAATGCCAATGCCATACAATGCCCTTTTAAAGAAAATTTTCATTTCATGCTCTTCTCAAAGATTTTCATTTTTCAATAAAAGCTTGCAACCTCAACACATTTCAAACTTTCAATTTTAATCAATAGGGGCGGTAAATACGACACTGGTAATCCCTAGGCTGGTGTCTGCAAGTAGACTCTACAAGTACTACCCAATCGTCATTTTTACCGGTATTAACCGGAAGGCTCGACACCTATCTGCACTGTTTTTTGGTCTTTCACCATGGACACCCAGGCCAACTTATCAAGATTAACTACACCCCCTATTCGAATTTATCACGTATTTACCCCACGCCACATTTACATAGTTCTTATTACAACATCATGTTCTTTCATAAAATAAATATCTTCAATCGAAATTACAATGTAAAATAACAATAGAATGAAAATGCAATGCCATGATCTTTCCATATCTCATGACACTTTTCCAATTTCAAATGTCTTAACAACAATGACAAAACAATTCCATTTCTCATTTCCTCCCTTTAATGTTGTTTCACACAAATAACCATGTGCCTTCAACACACAACAACAATTTCCCATTATACACAATTCTAATCAATTTAATCCTTCCAAGGCTACATATGATATTTTCAACATAAATCTCCATTATTCATGATTCACACAATCTATAGTGCACAACAATTTTGTCATCTCACACACTATGTCACCATGTATTTAACTATAGTCTTTGAAACAAAAAGTTCTCCATTTCAATATACATATCATAAGATAGTCATTTTTCAAACACCCATGAAATTTACACTCATCTATTCTTTTTAACACAAGAAAAATAAAAATACCATAGATATTTCCATCTTTTCCAAAATCCCCAATTTCTAAGGTTTTCGTAAAAAATCCAACATTTGTCCACTTCAAAGTGGAAACCAACCCAAAATCACATTTCATGAGTCAAATGAAAAGAAAGCCCTCTAGGAAGAACAAAAGAGTTGAGATTTTAGCAAACCCATCTTTGAAAACTCTCTTTCTCTCTCTTCATTTAGTGCAAGATTAAAAACAACACAATTGCCTCATGGAAGCTTTAAAATCAACATTTATGTAGCAAAACATATATATATATATATATATATATAACTCAAGAATTCCCTACCTCAAATTGTTGATGATGAAAAGAAAATGAAACCCAAGCTTTGATGGAAGATTCCTCAACTTTCCACAACACCAAGAGGAGTTCAAGCTTGATCTTCAAGATTTAGAAGGAAGATGATGATCTAAACCCAATGGATAACAAGAATCACAGGCTTTGGGATGCCTTGGTTAGGGTTTTTAGAGAGAAGGAGGAGAGAAAATGTTTTTAGAGAGAGAGGGAGATATATTGGAATGAGATACAAACAACCCAAAAGAGTAAAAAAAACAGGGTTTTCAGACTGTCCCCGTCTCGCACGTGCGGCCCTCCAATCCGCACTCAGCCCCGCACCTGCAATTTAAGCAGTGTGCCAAGCCAAACAACCCCTGAATTCCGCACGTGCGGCTTCACTCCCCACACGTGCGGCCCCTCTCCCGCACATGCGGCCCAAGGCCCCCGCCCGTGCGGCCCCTGACGTCCAGCGCAGAAATTTTCCACTTCGCTCCCAGGTACTCCGGACTTGACCCCACACCTCCCGAAACCAGTGAAGTTCAACACCGACAAACAAAACAAGAATGAGATCTTTAATTGGAAATAACTTCCGAATGTTTCAAACCCAACGGAAACAAAAGAGGACGAAACTAAGAGAAACAAAAGGAAAGAGAAAAGAGACCCGACTGTCACAATAGCAATACTCATTCAATGACAATTTACGTGGTACATCCAAAAGAGTAACAATGTATCAATAACAATAGGGCCTCAAGGGTCAATAAATGGGACCACAATGGGTCAATCAATATACCATATCCAATGTGACCATTAAGGTCTAACAGCAGAGATCTCTATGTTTCAATTATCCAATGAGCCACGGTATTGTTTCCCCCGGGCGAGGGCCAATGTGCCATGGTATTAATTTCCCCCAAGCAAGGGCCTCTTTATCAATGGGCCATGGTATTGTTTCCCCTAGGCAAGGGCCTATTAAACAATGGGCCATGGTATTGTTTCCCCCAGGCGAGGGCCTCACTAAAGGATGCCACGAATACATTTTCAAAAGGGAACTTCATTCATTCGTAAGAGATTAAAGTTTCAATAAGCCATTCAATCATTCATATATCAATTTTGATAACAATAACATTTTCAAAAATAAATATAATTCAAACATATCTTTATAGAGTTATTACTCACAGTGGGTCAAATCAATATAAGGCCTCGGACGCCCACCTATACAAATCACACAACAAAAATACAATAGAAGCACTATTCAATATTTATTTTATTTTAATTCTACTCTCTTTATGTGTTTCTAGCTTATCCCATGACTACATGAGTCCAATTGGTGCCTAAGAATACTTAGAATGTCATAAGGATGTAATTATGCACTTAAAAGAGTTAGTCAAAAATTGCTGAAAATAGGGTCCTCGCTCGAG